TACTATACATACTGGCAATGAGCGAAGCATAATAACTACTGCAACCCAGGTTGTAGGTGGATACCACTGGACTTACCTCCTTCGTGATGTGTTGAAGCACCTTAGTTTATGCTTTTTCAAATATCGGAAACACAGAGAAACCATTTGTTGGCTGAATATTCAGGCCGTTCTTAAAATCAGGCCCCCGCGTTCGAGTCCGGGTGGGTTGGGTCTCTTCACGTTGCTTTATAAGCCCCTTTTTTTCGCAGCAGGCCTCTTTAGCCCTATGAAGCCCTATAAAGCCCCAAACACCTAATCCTGAAGCCCAAACCCACCCTGAAGCCTTACAGACTACTTTACAGCTTCGGGCTTCTAGTGCGGAGGCCCCTCCAAAGACAAGAAAACTTTTTCCCATGTTCAAAGGGAGCCCTGCAAACCAACGAGGAACACCAGGGCAAGCAAAAAAGAAGCTTTAAACGGTTGGTGAGAATATGCCCTTATCGTCCCCCTAAGGTTGTATCTATATATTCTGTGTATATACTTTCATTTCAATACCCCACCCTGAACCCTAAACCTCAATTACCAAATCCTAAACCCTAAACTCGGGAAACCTGTGAGTGTGAGAGAAGCGGCGGATCGCTCTCCACATAACCAGGTTTCGCAACGTGTCGTGGCTCAAAACCTGGTCTGCATCTGAAGAAGCCAAGGTTTTGGGACACTTCGGTTAAGGGTTTATTAGGGGAAGAACTCAGCATATAAGAATTATGCAGGGTGGAAGTTTAGAGCTACATGGCGTTGGGTCTCCAGGAGATGCAGCAGCAGCCTGGATCCAAAACGGTTACCCCCAACACTAAACCCGAAACCCTACACACTATAAAGGTTATCGGTAATGAGGCTTGCAGGGTGGAATGCCCAATAAGGCCCCGAAAGGAATGATGGGACCTCAAGAAAACATAAAGGACAACGAAAGAAGAAAGACTGCAGAACAGAGTGCACAAGTCAGCGCGGAAACGGTTCGAATATTAAATTTTCGGAAAGGAGGCAAGCCCACCACGAAGCTACGAGGACCATATGAAACTCCCCCGAAACCCTAAAATCCAAACCCCTCAACACTACGCCCTAAAACTCTCAACCCCTAAACCCTTCGCCCTGAACCCGATGACCCCTGACAAACCCTTGAACCACGCTCGGCACTGCTGTGGAGCTGCCATCCACCGCCCCAAAGATAACTCGTAGGTGAAAGGTCTCTTGCCTCAAAAAACGCGGCTTGGGTTCCCTACACCCTAAAACCCTAAACCCTAAAACCCTAAACCCCTAAGCCCTAAACCCTAAACATGACGGTTTAAGGGTCGATAAGGCTTACGAGATAAGGGCCTTCGGGTGGAAGAGTGTCTAGGGGCTCTAGGGGTTTAGGGCTTAGGGGTTTAGGGTCTCTAGAGGGTTTAGGGGTTTAGGGATTTAGGGACTTAAGAGATTCAAGGGGTGTAGGGCCTTTGAGGGTCGCAGATTTACGTGGTAAGGAATTTTTTGGCACTCACAGACTCGAACAAGCCTGGCAAGGTCTGCAGCACGGGTTCGTTAACACCCTACTCGGCCCTTATCACCAGGTAGGATACGCTGTCAGGCAGGGCGTCAGACACGACAAAAAACAGATGTAAAACGGCTACCACAAAAGCCCAGCTGACAGCAGCCTCACATCAGAGCAACCGACACTACACCCGAAAGACCCACGACCCGGTAAGGAAGTAGGGCTTTGGCTTGCTTCGCGAATTAAAGGGTGTTCCCATGCCCGGACAATGAGTCCAGGCTTCAGCAGGCCAGCACCAAACGCGTTTGGGGTTTACGGCTTTTTTGTAAGGCTGTGGCATCTAAGGCTTTTGCTTGGGGCTTAGATGTCTTAAGCCCCTCTGCTTGCACTTTTAAGATGTATCTGGTATCGACCTAGAACTAAAGATGATCTTCCTTGCCTTACGATGGGAAGACCCTGTCAGCCCAAGCCGGGGTCTTCGCGTCTGGCCAAAAACGTCTCTCCAGGAACCCACTTAGCTGTGTAGTCTCCAGCGGTATGTAAGCCTTATTGTACCGTCGTGTCGGTATCTGGGGTCAGAGGGTTTCGTTGATCCGGAACTATAGAAGCAAACCTGAAGACACAATTACCTGCGAAACGGCTGTCGATGATAAGAACGATGCTTCGAGGCTACAAAGAGGGGGGGAGGGGTGGGGTGTGGGTGGGTGGGGTGGGGGTGGGGGTGGATGGGGTGGGGGGAGGGGGCCCCTCCCCCAAAAAAGAGTTGCAATGAATTGTTTTTTGAGAAAACAATTCATTGCATTTTTTTTTTTGGGGGGGGGGGGTCATCCGAAACCCTAAACCCCATTTAAACCCTAAACCCTAAATTTGGTAGTGACACAGCAGCTGGATTTTAGGGGTTTACGGTGCTGCAGGCCTCAATTTCCCAGAGCGACAGTCGAATAAGGGGGGCCTTAAGAGCTAGACTCGGGCTTTGGGGTATATGTTGATTCAATAAGTTAAGGAGCCTTCACGAGTAGTTTGAAAGAAACATGCTTTTTTTCCAGAATAGCATTAGTAGCTCTTCTTCTTCTTCTCCACTCTCTCTCTCCCTCTCGCTCTCGCTCTCTCTCTCTCTCTCTCTCTCTCCCTCCCTCTCTCTCTCTCTCTGTCTCTCGCTCGCTCGCAACAGCATTAGTAGCTACGCTTCTATGCTACAGCAAGCTCCTCATGTTCTGCAAGTCCGAGGAGCAGTGCAGCTCCAAGCCCCGAGGAGCATAGGGCATCGCCACACGCTCGAGAAAGCCACTTTCACCTTAGGGTTTAGGGATTACGGAAAAGGTGTGCAGTGTGTATAGGGCTGGGGGTTTTACGCTCTCACAACTCGGACAAGCCAGGCGAGGTTAATGGGGGTTTTAGGGTTTAGGGGTTTAGGTTTTGGGGAGTGCGGGGTGCTGTGAAGGGTTCGGGTGGTGCGATGACGGATTTCCAGCATGGCTCTGAGTTTCATAGCTTCTGAGCCTGAAGTTTTCAATGGAAGGTCTGGGATCTGAGCTCGTTTGCATATGGTGCCCTGTGCCCGAAGGGAGTCATGCAACATGTACGCGGACACGGCAGAGGCAATCAAAAAGCCCGGCACCAGATCATGAAAGCCATGGATAAACGAGTTGCGCTTTGGAATCCTCGCCAACGTCTAAACGAAAATTGTTGAATGGAATCCGACTCAGCGGAGCGAATTGTCGTTGCAGTGGACTTGGCTTCGGGTCTTATGAACTGGGTTTTATGCACTTGTCAGTTGCAGGACAGCATGTGATTTGTCAAGGGGGGTGTACCATAAAAGGTGGTGTCGACTGAAGGCCCTCTTTATTGAAACTGGGCTGCCTGGCTGCCAGAAAGCAACACCACTGGAAGCTCAAAACCTTGCATCACACTGCCCTAAGCCCTAAACCCTGAACCGACAGCATCATCCTTCAGCTTTACGTACTTTGTTGAAATACCAGCCAGACATGGTCGCGTAGAGGTTTCCGGTTCCCAGGGCTCGGGGCCCGACGCCACGATGCTGAGTGTGGTTTTAAATGCTGCCTTCCGAAAACGGGCGAGGAGTGAACCTGAAATCATAGCAATGTCAAGTCACATTAAGACGCCCCATCTAGGTTGGGCTCTATAACTTTCCTAAACGGTCCTGAACTCTCCGTCTTCATTAGCGGAGCCCAGGCACAGAAAAGGGACTCGATGGAATCCGGCCGCGTGCCCCAAGCTCTCGCACGCTCGTAGCGGCCCCACCTTGCTTGCAACGATGGCAAGGCATAGGGTTTGTGTTCCATCTAGGGGCCTGAGGGATTAGAATAGGGTTTTGGATGGTTTTGGGGTCTGTTATAGTTATAGTAAATAAAGGGCCCTGGAAGCCTGGAAGTAATGTGCAGCAGTTATTCCGGCCTCTATGTAAAGTAGCAGGTGTGGGGCTTGCAGGGTCTGAGTCGTTTGAAGGGAATGAACTAATCAGCATATCTCTTCACTTTTTGGAGAGTAGGTACCCACGCTTCGGGAATCATATGGGTAGTTCTCTAAATTAGGGAACCTTTTAGGGTCCCCTAAACAAAGGCCTTATTTTAGAGAACTACCCATATAGAGGCCTCAATAGCTAGGGCTTGTGGGCACATTATACTGCAACTATGATAAGGAATCCTTCAGGAACAGTAATACTGATTATTCAGGCTCTTGTATCAATCATGATACCCGGCTTCTTACATCGAAAAATGCTTCTTTTCTCTCAAATATTGTCACACCTCCACTCCGGTCCACTCCTGATCCTAAACATGAATCCCGCAAGAACATTTTTCACAAGCACAAGAACCCCAAGCCTTCGCAAGGTGGCAAATCCCGAAACATCTCAGGGCGCACAGTCCAGGAACACTAACCAGGGTTGTAGTTTCGGGTTTCGGGGCCCGTAAAAGTATTTTTGAATAGGTAGCTCTGTAAAACCATGAGGGACTTTAAGTCTCTCAAATTGCCACCTACTGCTAGTGACTAAACCTCCCATGCCCAAGGCTCTTTCAACGACATCCCAGGGGTTAGGCCGAATAGTGGGTTAATAATCACAGAATTTTCAGGCTTCAATTTAGGGTTTAGGGTTCAGAAGCTTTGGAAGAAGAAGCTGCTCTCTGGCGACAAAATGATAGTACATGGTATGCGCTTGGAATACGAGTATGCTCGTTGTTACCAGGATCCTACTGCTTGAACCCTGCAGCTGTGTCTGCCAGCTACTCAGGGGACCCGAACTTGTTCCCAAATGGACCTTGTCGGAAAGAGTCTTGTTCATAACAAGTTCAAAATCTTCAAAGCAGACCCTGGATGCGCCCGAGCCCAGGCAATCTTTGAGAAGGCCGCATGCCGATCTCGAAACACAAGTCATCGACTTACTGGCAGAGGTTAACTAGCTTTCAATCAGCGGCACGCAGCCACCATGGAGGTGCGAGACGCGACATAGCCATTGCCGTCGTTTTGATCCTGCTCTCTATGCAGTTTTCTCTGTCCCATCTTCCAACCTACGCACCTTACGGGCCCGCACGATCGCAGCTGCCTCGGCATCTGGCACACCAGTTGAGAAGAGGTGAATCTTCATTGCAACCTCAGGCCATGTGCTGATGAGGTCAGCATAGGCCTCAAGCTTAAGCACCTCCGTAGCATGGTCTTTGATGTAGGATAGACAAGCCTTCTCGAGCTTCACGGCCTCGAAAACATGTGCCTGGCGCAGGACGCTGCAGACCTGCTCCGCGCTGAGCTGTTTGCAAAGCTGTGCTTCGCACCACCGCTGAAGCCGTTCTACCTGGCTGGTTGTCAAGAGTGTGCGCAGCACGCCTGAGCAACCCATGAACGGACCCAAGATCATGCAGTATGTATATTATACAAGAGAAACCACTGGTGTGCTCAACCCAACCGTATTGAATGCTTCATGTTGGCGACATGAGCACAGGATCTCTTGAAACGGGTGATGATCTAATCTATGAAGGCCAAGTCAGAAATCCCTATACATGATACTCCCTGTACGCCTGATATATACTCATTGAGACTCCCCTTTGGAATACCCGAAAGAAAGCCTATAGATCAGGATCTAAATGGGGGAAATCAAAGCATCCCAAGATCTTGCGGCCTATGGAGCAAGGGATTTCTATGAAAGAAATCAGGAATAAAGGAAAAAAGCCTGTAGAATACCTTACGAAATACCCCCGCTTTACAAGCCTTACAGAAGTTCATGTAGAATACAGTACACTAGCAATACCTTATAGAATACCCCGATATACCTTGTATACCCAAGATCTGAGAGTTCCCCAGTTGAATTGTAGTTTACTGGGTAAGGGATTCAAACGAAGGAAATGCGGAATCCAAGACATAGGAACTCCTGGAAAATTTGGAAAAATCGAAGATTATCCAATAAATTATCTAATAAGGGATACAGACAGAGAACAGAACCCTTACAACACACCCCCTACACGCCCTTTACATACCCTATAGAATACCTTCTACAAATACCTTGTGGAATAACATGTAGAATACCAGTTTAGCCTACATTATAGAATATTTTTTATTCCAACGATATACCCTACATATACCTCATAGAATACCATCTGTGATATATACCCTGGAGAAAACCTTATAGAAGACCGCCTATATATAATACATCCTGTGTACCTTATGTATGCCATATGAAATCCTTTACAATACCTTATAGTATACCCTTAGAATCCCTTATAGAATAGCAATACCTTATAGGTAGGGATTTAAAGTATGGAAAACCAGTCGGAGCCCAAGATCTGAGAAGTGCCCAGTTGAATTGCAGCCTCTGGATGCAGGATTCCTGTGAAGAAAAACAGGGACCAAGAAGAATATCCTTACAAATACCCTTTAGAACACCCCTTCTATGCACTTTAAGCAATTTCATACAGAATACACAATAAAATACCTTCCTAAAGATGAGTACAGAATACCTTCTGTACAAGACCTTATGCAGTACCCTATAGAATACCTATTAGAATGCCCTGCGGAATACCATCTGAATATCCTGCCGTAGAATACCTTACAGAAGACCGCCTGTGTAATACCCTCTGTATACCACAAATATACCTCATAGAGTATCCTCTAGAATGCCTTTTAGGATACCATTTAGAATAGCTTATAGAATACCCTCAGTATAACTGAGCGCGGCATCAGTGTGAGAAATGATTGTGTCGTCGTAGACAGGGAATACTACGCATTACTTAGCATCTTGTATCTCGTGTTGAACGATGTTGGTTTATCTGGATTCGAAGGGTGTTGTGCCTTGGTAGACAATGAATATTAGGCAATAGTTAGATTTATTTCTTGGTTTGAACGTTTGTGGGACACAAGACTTTTGTTCGGAGCCGAGTCGCAACGTAGTCTAGAAAGTACACGAGGAGGCTTCGAGGTAGGTTTCGGAGGGGGGTAGCATACACACACACATATATATATATGTATATATATATATGTATATACATATACCACATATATATATATACAGACACATACACACGTGCACACACACACACACACACGCACGCACCCACGATCGAAACAACATCACTTTCGCAAAAACCCGCCTGGTATTTGTGGCTGACCGCCCACAATGCCTCCATCGGTGAAGCGCACCGGCTGCTGTCTTGTTTCACAGCTTGGCGCGATGGCTCTGCCAGGTCTTCGACTGTCGGAAGCTTGTCAGTGTACAAGAAGTTTAAGAAGGCTTTGAAGGTGGCCGCATCGCAATCTTCAATCGTGATGACCTTGGAAGCGGACTCCCGCATGCCTGAATTCAGCTGCTTCTTGAGCACTTCCGATCTCGCACAGAGAACCTGGGAGTGCGCGTGGATAACTTCCCCCTGTAGCCTGAAATCCACGTCGCTGCAACTAGCTTCCTCGAGTAGAGCCTGTGTGTCGCGACACAGGGTCGGTTCTGGAACATCCACAACAGATCTAGCAAAAGACTGGGAGGAATAAGACCGCTGAGGCAGGACTTCCAAAACGAACTTCAAAGTCAAAGTGTCGTCCTGTACCCACTCCGATTGCAGCAGCTGTTCATGTGACAGGCCGAAGAGTCCAGTTGCGGCAGGAGGAGAGCGTTCTGGATGCACGTCCGGTCCATATGATTTGCACATCGAACTGCGCTTGAATTCTTCGTTCGTCTTGCCCCATTGCACGAAGTCTCCACCACCCGTCTTGGCATAGATGCTGTAGCGAAAAGTAAAAGCATCGGTTGTGTAGTGTGGCATTATGGCAATGCAACCATGCTGACTCTGCCCCGCTGCCTGATCAAACCCGATAAAGCCTCCATGGGGATTGTAGATAAAGAGGAAACTGTATGCCCCAACCTGAAAAAGATCAGATTCCGGAGAGCCAGTGCAATTATGCTCAATGGCAGTTCGGAGCCAAGACATTTGAGTAAGCTTCCATATGTACTCCCCTTTGGCAACTTCGTGGCCGAAACTCGCACACTCCTCACCGAATGTGCGCAAAGGGCATTTGTAGGGAGGAGCTGTAAGTGGGACTGGACCAGACGGGCCTGTGATAAGATGCTCTCCCTCAACGTCCTCATCGATGTTTCTTCTATACTGCTCCTCTGCATGGTTGTCGTCCAGCTCCTCATTGAGCATCATTCTCTGCACTTCTAGCTCTCAGCGCAGCCTTTGCCGCTCCAGGGCTTCAGCTGTCGCCGCTTGGAGTTCTCTCTTCCTTGCCACCGCGGCCCGCACCCGCGTCTTGGTGGCCTCGATCTCTGCGCGCAGCTCCTCTGCTGACATGACTCTACGCGTGCACGCAAGGGGCCAGGCCAAAAGGACTGTGCGACGAAGAACTCCTGCCTGTCGCGTTCGAGCCTCTCATTTTCGGGATAATGTTGAAAGGGCGACAGCTTCAAGCAGCAACACAAGATCTACAGTCGAAAGTCTCCATGATTATGTCGCACACTCCCTACTTCAGGCTCGGCACCAAGTCCGCATGATAATTCGCTTCACAGCACGCAAAGTACTTCAGCTCCTCCAGCCGTACCGGGTCCTCACACCAAAACCCGGCACGGGAAATCCTGACTTCATGCCTCTGGCACGCACAGCCGAGTAGCGTCTCGATGACGCTTTTGGTGACCCTGAGTAGGGCCATGGCCTCCATCAAGTCAGGCACCAAGGGTTGAGCTTTGCAGGAATGCGGTCACGGGATGTGGGATTGCGGTCTGTTCAGATTTACGGGTTTTCACGCTTCGGCGGTGCCGACACGTGGAAGCCTATCCTGGCAAACCAGTTTCACTCTCACACACATACACAGAAACAATCTCGCCAATTGTGCAGCAAAGCAGCACTGCACATGTCATCCCTCCCTCTCTCTCTCTCTCT